CAAAGGCCCTTTTTCCACCAGTGTTATACCGGTGAATTTGTATTCAAAAGAAGTTTTCAATTATATAATTTTTTCTTTCGCTGCAGTCGGTCTCGTTTGTTAAATTTATGATCAAAGTTGGACCTTGGAAAGCGCGGACGCACTATATTTTAAAATGGAGGGAGTAGTTTTTTTTTAGGAACAAATTAATAGACAGAGATCATTGTCTGAATGGAGAACCAAGTTTAGTATCACGCAGATCTTCTACTCTAGTCGTACATTCAGCTCAGATCATCTGCCCGACTGCCCTGCTCTGATAATATTTAAATCACAGATCAGAGTCTCTCCTTTTGGCAAGCAAAGCAAATAAACTACTGAAACAACTTTGCTGAAACTCATCAACAGATTGGGGCACGCGCAAAGGGTCCGTCTTTCACAGGCACAAAGGGTCGAATGGCTAGCTAGGCGAGCGTTCCATGCATGTGGGCACATGTACACAGGGCAAATTGATAATGAAGATGCTCTGACTCATGACAGTAGTAGGCAGAGCTTGTCCTCGATAGTTGTGTGTGTGTGTGTGAGAGAGAGAGAGAGAGTGTGTGTGTGTGACGGGGAGCATGCATGTACTACGTTAACATTGAACCCACCCACGTTAAGTTATCAACCGCGCTCCCAGCACCATGTATTTGACTACGTGTAGAGCATCTAAAGCCGGCCCCTTTAAAATCATCTTCAAATGTTCACGAACACGCCCAATCGATCACCATGATTAAAGGAAAAAATGACCCAATCGAGCCTCTCATATCATCCATATACGTTCAGATTGTCCATAAACCTTTTAATTTTGAGAGAGTGTTGTATTTCCTTCCTCCTTTTTACAAACGTGGAAAAAATGTGCATTGTGACGTACAAGGAGCAGTTTTGAGGGACACTTGGAGAGTAGAGTCCGTACATGGAGGGGAGGGTGTTGGGGCCGGTGACGCACATGGAGCAGACTTAGCAGAGCAGTACCACTTGTGTTGGCAACTGTAGTCCGAAAATGAGATGATGTGATGAGACATGGCCTGTCAGCTTTGCATGCGTGGCAGTGCAAGACCTAACCAAGAGACATGCCACTTGAAGTTTACCCGCCCTCACATGCATCACATCAACTTTTCTGTTGTTTGTAGGGTCCTTGTGTACCCTTT